CAAAATTTTGGCGGGAGAATCCCTCGGCCTCTCGCCGAGTGACACCTGTAGCAGGCCGTCGCCTGTTACAGGGCGATACCTGTCACAGGTAACACGTGACCAGTCACGTGCCACCTGTGAGGGGCAAATGATTAGGGGATTTTTCCCCACCAATCACCATCTGACAAGTGGACCAATCAGGTTCCGCCATGTGTCCGTCACATGGGCCAATAGGAGCCTGCCACGTGTCAAGCAATGATCCGTCCACCATGGACCAATTATGACACGACACGTGTCCTTCCCATGACACCTGGGATAACCGGTAACCTAGGCCCAACTCCCGAGGGAAGCCCAATCAGCCCAAGGTTAACCTAAACCTAGATTGACACGTTTCCCGAGGTTATAAATACCTCCCTTAATCCTCATTAAGGGAGAGAACATGCTAAAAAAGCAGATTACACACATTAAACACTCTCACCTAGAGAGACCCAATCACTTTAATTTCCGCATTAATTACTCCTTAATCAAGTACTAACTTGACCGTCGGAGGCGGATCTCCAATCATCCGGAGCATCCGTTTGTTTTGCTGGTACAGGCGTCCGATTCCAGTCTCGGAATTGTAACTCTCCCGCAGGACATCAGAAAACCCCGAAACATATACTATAGCACAGCACCAACTGGTGGTTTAGTGTTAAGACAAGAAGCATGCATAGAGAGAAAACATTCACAAAGCATATAGGCAAAAGAAACATAGATTATAATCATCCAAAATCGATTCAAAACATCGGCCAAATGTACTAAATTTGCAAGATTACCAAAAGAAATTAAAAAGTGCCCAAAATATTACATACCCAAAAAAAATTGTTCCCAAAAGCAAATAAACATAAGTTTCATCAACATAAAGAGGTTGCAAGGAAAGACAGGCTAAGATGCAATGCTTTGGTCATCATCAACAGCAAGATCCTCCAGCTTCTTGCTGATTTGAGACACTATGTCCTTCATAGTGGACTGTCTCCCCTGTTCTGAGCTTGGGACCAGTTCCTTCACATCAACATCTAGAGTGAGCACACTCTTCTTCAGTTCCTCCATCTTCACCTTTGACTGCTCTTGTTCCTTCAGAAATTTCTGGAGCATCTCCTTCATCTCCTTCACATCTTCGCTGGGAACCTTAGGTGGGGAACTGAAAGCTGCAAAACCTGTACCTGTAGATGCATACTTTCCCGAAATAGGAGAGCTTGTGACTTTCTGCAAATCCTCTTGCACCCCTGAGATATCAATGCAAATGGGGGCAGAGGTCTCCTTTTTCTTCATCAACCTCAAGCTCTTCCTTTTCTTCCTTCCCCCTGTCTCAATCACTTCCTCAACCACCTTTTCCTCTTCCTCCTCCTGAATGTCCTGCACCGCTCCCTCTAATATCCCAGCAGCTCTCTCTTCTTCCCCCTCAGCTATGGCACCTACTTCCTTTGGCCTTTTATTTTTTTTTCTCCATCACAACCTCAAAACATCCATCTACAACCTTCATCTTATGGTTTTCAAGAAAAATGGGCTGCATGTACTCGGTGTTTTTGAGGGGTAGGGGTTCTTTATCAACAAAGGAAATACCAAAGCTTTCAAAGACATAGGTGAGAAGGTTACCATATCCCACCTTCTAACCTTTTGGAACACAATGAGAGAGGTGTTGAACCATGATAGAGGGAAAGTTTATTTGGATCTTTTTAGCTAGGCAATAGATGAGTACAGAGTCAAGCTTGTTGGCACTGTCTCTCTTTTGGGTGCGAGGGATAATATCATTGAAAACAAATTTTAGCAGAATTTTGTCAAGAGGGGTTAGGTCATTGTGATTTATGTAGGTTTCCTCCCGGTCTCCACCTAGAAACTCCACTATCTCATCAATATTTGCATCAGGAAGAGGGTTCCTTATCACATTACTCTTAAAATACAAGTCATATCCAGTATTAGGAACATCAAACAACTCAGCCAAATACATCGCATGAAACTCAATTTATTTTTCATACACACAGCAGCGAATAACACCTTTAGAGTATTTGAAACTTTTGCAAAAATCCCTCATAGCATCAACATACATACTCCGATTAACGCATTCACTCAACAAATTCACCCAATTTTGAGCTTCAATCAAATCAAGCAGTTCATACAATTTAACAGAATTGCACCAAGGAAGATTAATAGCCAAACCTATCACAAAGTGATCACTGATCTTCTCTTCCCGTTTCATGGATGCAGGCTTGTCTCGGTAATTGACCCCTAGTTCCGGAGCGCTTTCTTCTTCTTCTTGCATGTCATCGGACTTCTTTTTTCGAGAAGATTGGGATTCGGTGGTTGAATCCACTTTTGGAGGCTCTTTATCATCAATGGGGTTAATTTCCGGTGGGATTTCCATGGTAATTTCTGGAATTGGGTTTGTGTTAAGGTCGACTTCAATTTGGGTTTTTGGAGAGGTAGACATTGGAGAGTAGTTTTGATCAGAGTGATGAGAGAGAAGGTAATTTTTGTGTGGTGTAAATTTGTGTGAGGCTGACATCTTTTATGGTGGAGGTAAATTGGTGAAGTGAGGTGTCGCTTGGGAGGTGAGGTGAATTTAGTTGATTTGACACTCATATTTATTTCTTAGGGAAACGCAAACCGTGTTTCAAGAGAGTAGTGTAAGTGGGCTAACAAAAGATAATGATGAATTTAGATGCATTCATCCGATTTTTGTGTTTAGATAAAAAGAATTTGGAATTTTGAAAAATAGATAAACACAACAATTTTATCTTTTGAATATTATCAGTAAAGAACACTTGCAAATACAACTTGATACACGGAACAAATCAACAAGGCTCATGCAACCAATTTTGGACTTTTCATATTCTATGTCTTTCAAATTTTCATGCCCTTAGTAAATATTACTCCTGCTTACAACCTGTCTTAACTATGTAATTAAACATATAACACTTGTGCACAGTATACAACAGATTAAGCATGTCAGTTTGAGCTTCATACCTGAGGGAACTTGATGCATTTTTCTCAGTATAACTTAATCATCCCAAGTTCCATTCTCATCTTCTCATGCCTTTCTCTATTCAAGGGTTTTGTTAATATATCTGCAATTTGATTGTCAGTTTGGCAGAAATCTAATTTAATCAAACCCTTTTCAACATTATCCTTAAGGAAATGATGCCTTATATGAATATGCTTAACTCTTGAATGATGGACTGGATCTTTAGATATGCAAATTGCACTAGTGTTATCACAGTAGATAGTAATGCAATTAAATTTAATACCAAAGTCACGCAACCGTTGTTTAATCCAGAGGACTTGAGAGCAACAAGCAGCTGCTGATATATACTCAGCCTCTGTAGTAGACAATGCAACAGTATTTTGTTTCTTAAAACCCCAATAAACTAGACAAGAGCAAAGGAACTGAACCATACCTGAGGTGCTTTTCCTATTGACTAGGTCACCTGCATAGTTAGCATCTGTGAATCCTTTAAGCATAAAGTCATCACTTCTAGGATAGAACAGACACATGTCATCTGTTCCTTTGAGGTATCTCAAAACTCTCTTAACAGCCGTTAGATGTGATTCTTTAGGATTAGACTAAAATCTAGCACACAATCAACACTAAAAGAAATGTCATGCCTACTGGCTGTTAGATACAGCAATGAACCAATCATACCTCTGTAAGTGGTTTGATCCACACTTGTTCCTTGTGGATCCTCATCAAGTCTTGTTGTTGTTCCCATAGGTGTATGATTTGTCTTGGCATTCTCCATGTTGTACTTCTTCAGAAGTTCCTTGACATACTTCTGTTGGTGAATCATTATTCCTTCAGCTGTTTGCTTTATTTGAAGTCAAAGGAAGAAATTTAATTCACCTATCATACTCATCTCAAATTCACCACCCATTAGCTCAGCAAAGTACTTGCACAAACCATTGTTAGTAGCACCAAATATAATATCATCTACATAGATCTGCACAACTAACAAATCAGTTCCTCGAGATTTAAGAAAAAGAGTTTTGTCTACTTTTCCTCTTTTGAAATCATTTTTCAGTAGGAACTTTGAAAGCCTTTCATACCAGGCTCTTGGAGCTTATTTAAGCCCGTAGAGAGCTTTATCAAGCTTAATAACATGATTTGGAAATTTAGGATTTTCGAAACCTCGAGGTTGTTCAACAAACACCTCCTCATTTAAGAAACCATTTAGAAAAGCACATTTCACATCAATTTGATAGAGTTTGAAACCCATAAAAGAAGCAAAAGCCACTAGGATTCTAATAGCTTCTAATCTAGCTACAGGAGCAAATGTTTCATCGAAATCAATACCTTCCTGTTGATTGTAGCCCTTCACAACCAATCTAGCCTTGTTCCTTACTATGGTGCCATGTTCATCAAGCTTGTTCCTGAACACCCATTTGAGCCCAATTACTTTCTTTCTCTTAGGCTTTGGCTCAAGGTGCCAGACCTTATTCCTTTCGAACTCATTGAGTTCCTCTTGCATGGCCACTATCCAATCAGCATCTCCCAAGGCTTCTTGATGACTTCTTGGTTCTAGAATGGACAAAAATGCATGGAATGCACAGTAGTTCCTCATCTGTGATCTTGTTTGAGTTCCTTTTCCTATATCACTGATAATTAGATCAGTTGGATGGGAACCTCGATACCTGAATGGCCTGGGTTGGAATTCCCTTGCTGGAACTCCAATTTGAGGAGCTTCTGTTTCTGTTCCTTCTGCTTCTTCTGCTTGTTCCTTATTCACTTGTTCATCTGGTTGAGGAACCTCTCCATTTTCTTGATGATCCTCTTCTGGAGTAGGCTGCTTTTCTTTGGTTTGCTTTTGGTTCTCTTCTTCATCCCTGTCTCTTATCAATCCAATTTCAAAATCATTATCCTCTTCTTGTTCATGTACACTCACAAACTGGTTAACTTCATCAAAGATTATATGAATGCTTTCCTCAACACACATTGTGCTTTTATTGTAAACTCTATAAGTTTTGCTAAATATGGCCTCTTCACTTCTTTAATCAAATTTCCCTAGGTTTTTCTTACCATTGTTATGTACAAAGCACTTACAACCAAAGGCTCTAAGATGAGATATGTTTGGCTTTCTTCCCCTGAATAGTTCATAGGGAGTCTTGTTGATGACACTTCTGATTGTTACCCTGTTAAGGATGTAACATGCTGTATTCACGGCTTCAGCCCAGAAGTTCCTTGGCAATCCACTTGCAATCAACATCGTTCTAGCCATTTCCTCAAGGGTTCGATTCTTCCTTTCTACAATTCCATTATGTTGGGGAGTCCTTGGAGCTGAGAAGTTATGATTCATGCCATTTTCCCTGCAAAACTCATCGAATATTGAGTTCTCAAATTTAGTTCCGTGATCTGATCTGAGATGGACTATGGAGTGACCACTGATTTTCTGTATTTTCTTGGCAAAAAAAAACAAACTCGTTAAAAGTTTCATCTTTACTAGCAAGAAAAATAACCCAAGTGAATCTAGAATAATCATCAACAATAACCAAAACATATTTCTTGCCACTCCTGCTTTGAATTCTCATGGGACCACACAAATCGATATGGATTAATTCCAAAGGCTTTGTAGTGCTCACCATTTTCTTCAATTTAAAAGATGAGAGAACATGCTTGTCTTTCACACATGCATCACAAACTTTGTTCTGTAGGAACTTGATAATAGGAAGTCCCACAACCAAGTTCCTTGACCTTAGCTTGTCCAGTAATGAAAAGCTAGCATGTCCAAAACGTTTATGCCATAATAGGGGATCATCTTCAACAACACTCAGACATGTAAGGTTGTTCCTTGGGATTAAGTTGAGGTCAACTGTATAAGTGTTCCCTCTTCTAGTTCCTTCTAGAACAACCTTTCCTGACTTGTTGTTGATGATGTTGCAAGAGTCAGAAGTAAAACTTACAGAATTTCCTTTATCACAAAATTGTGATATACTGAGCAAATTGTGCATTAAGCCCTCTACCAGGAACACATTATCAATGGAATGGATTTAGATCTTCCAATTTTGCCTTTTCCAATGATCTCGCCCTTCTTATTATCCCCAAAGGTTACTGTTCCTCCAGGGTAGTCTTCTAGTGAGAGGAATTTTGATTTATCACCTGTCATATGCTTTGAACAACTGCTGTCGAGATACCACGAGTTGTTCCCCCTCACTAGGACCTGCAAGAAAACTAAGCATTAGGATCAGGAACCGAGGTTTCCTTGGGTTCCTTAGACGTGGATGCAATATCAGTTTTCTTGACCCACACTTGTTTTACATTTCTTTTATTTGCTTCTTCTCTTATCCTACACTGTCCATAGAGATGTTCAGTCTTACCACAAAAAGTGCATACCTTCATGCTAGGAAGCTCAACATATTTCTTTTGCTTACCTTTCTTCTTGGTCATATAACCAAGGCCTTCAGTTCTTTTTCCTTGAGCTTCGACTATCCACTTAGGTATGACTTTTGGGCCAATACTTCTATCCTTTCTAGCATTCAGTTCCGATTCAAGTTGATCCTTTTGGGTTTTTAAAGTAGAAAGCTCATTTTTAAAAATTTTCAAAATCAACATTGAATTTAAGTAACTAATCGCTTGAGGAACTGCTAGAACTGATATTAGAATTTATGAGCTTATAATGAGTTAATTCAACATTCAGAAGAATACTTTCATTCTTAATTCTATCAGCTATTTCAGTTATGTATTTGTATTTAAAATCAAGCTCTCTTAATTTGCTTTGAGACTTGGCATAGGCTGTTTCCAACCAAGCACCATGTTCTTTGCAAACCTTAAGAGTTTTTTCACATTTGTTCAACTTTACACATGTATCTCTAAAGAATTCTTATTCTTCTAGACATATATTTATTAAGACATCTTTAGAGAGAGTTTCAAGCTGTTTAGGATCAAGAAACACCTCTTTCTGGAGTTCCTCAAGGTAAGCCTTTTCATCATCTGATTTGGTCATCAAACAAAGATTGGCCGTCTCTTCTTCTGGTTGTTCATCATCTTCTTCTTCACTTTCTGAGTCTCCCCAGGCTGCTATCATGGCCTTCCTCATGTCTGACTTTTGATAGTTTTCTTTGCTGAATTTTTCTCTTCCCTGTTCCTTAGCCTTTCCTTTCCCTTTATCATTTTCCCAAAGGGGACAGTCTCTGATAAAGTGATTTGGAGATCCACACTTGTGGCAGCTGTAGTCAGGCTTTGTATTTGAGGTATTTTTCCCGAAGTTCCTTGAGGTTCGGCCTTTCTTGAAAATCTTTTTGAATCTTCGCACAATTAGGGCAGCCTCATCCTCGTCCACTTCTGAGTCTTCCTCCTCATCAGCCTTAAGAGCCAATCCCTTGTTCCTCATGGGTTCATTGTTGACTCCAAGGTGTAGCTCATGAGTCATGAGAGAACCTGTTAGTTGTTCAATATTGAATTTTGTAAAGTCCTTCATTTCCTGAAGGGCTGTCACCTTAGCTCTCCATCTCTCATCTTGTGGAAGACTTCTTAGAACCTTCCTAACCTGCTCATCTATAGGAATCTGTCTACCAAGGGAAACCAACTCATTTATGATGTTAGTAAAACGGGTTAGCATCTCTTGAATGGTTTCCTTAGGCTGCATCTCAAATCTTTCATACTTAGACATAAGTAGATCGATTTTTGAGCGTTTAACCTCATTAGTTCCTTCATGAGTAATCTGCAGCAAATCCCATATTTCCTTAGCGTTCTTGCACCCCATAACACGATTGTGTTCGTGAGGTCCAAGTCCACAGTGTAGCAATTTCACAGCCATAGCATTTATTTCCATTTTATCAAAGTCCTCTTTTTCATATTCAGACATAGGCTTAGGGATTACCTCATTCTGAGCATTAGTTTTGGTGACTTCGAAATTACCAACCTCGATGACCCTCCAAACTTGGTAGTTCTCTGCCTTGATAAAGATCTCCACGCGGTTCTTCCAGTAAGTATAGAACTTGCCATTAAACATAGGAGGCCTCTGAGTTGAGTATCCTTCCTCGAGCTTCTCATGAGTATTCATTTTCTCCAAGACCTTTCTTCTTCAGGGTTTCCTGATTTTCCTAGAAGTTAGGCTCTGATACCAATTGTTGTTTTAATGAATACTACAAGAAGGGGGAGTTGAATTGTAGTATGAGAATTTAGCCAAACTTTTTGCGGAATTAAAATTAAGTTAGCTAAAGAAACTGAGAAATTAACAAAAGGAACTAAAAAATGCAAGAGAGATTTTACGTGGAAAACTCCTTGGCCCTAACAAGGAGAAAAACCAAGACCACTTGGGATTTTGGGAAAATAATCTTCACTATAATAGGGCAAATGATCCTATTACAAGCTAAAGACTCAAACTCAAGTTCCTCTACGAACTTGAGACCCTGAGGAACAAGTCACCCAACTTGTTACTCTTCTCTTCTCTTTCTCTCTTTTCACTTCTCTGTTCTCTCTTCTCTTTCTCATACACAAACGTTCATTCGAACTTCTCCATTCCCAATTACAACTCGAAACAAAAAATAAACTCTAGTATAAGAACATTAAGAACACTCTAATCAACTTGTGTGGAATTGACACTTGACTCGATTTGAAGCTTGAAAACTTATGTGAGCAATGGTGAGTTTTTCCAACAGAAATCAATGGCTATTTATAGATTAACAAATGCTTTGGAAAATTCTCTTTGTGCAGCAACACCATTACGCCACTACTCATACCCACTAAGAAGATCATGTTCCTAGAATTAAGGAACCATGAACTCCTCAATGTGCAAAACCATGACTGACATAGAACATGGGAGACTAAGCCGTAAGTTTTGGAAAACATGGTGATTTTATTTTTTCAGAAAATATTTTCGAAAATAAGAAAATAAAATAAAATCAGTTTTCACAAGATATTTTCGAAATTCAGAATAAAATAAAATCCCTTTCAAAATATAAACATTTTAGAAAGCAACCGTTTTCCTAAAAACTAGCATGCACAATTTTATCTTTTTAGACCAATTCCACACAGATTTTTCGAGTGCCATTTAATATTTATACTTACATAAATCCTAAAATATAAAAATATATTTAGTCTTCATGTTCTCAGATGAAGCTTCTACTTCGAGGCTTCTGTTCCTTGGGAGGAACTTCTCTTCTCTGCTGAGGCTTCTTCTCTGAAGCTTCTGTTCCCTGAGGGAACCTTCTCTTCTCCAGTCTTCATTTCTGAAGCACCAATTCCTGTGAGGGAACTCTTCTATATGGTTAGCTCTGCTTCTGGCCTTCTTGTTCCTCATGGTATATTTACAAGACACTTCATTCTCCTAGTCTTTGTAACTGAGTACACACTTAAACAATCAAGCACTTATTAGTTTGTAAGTAAGTGAGGTTGTGTCATCATCAAAATCATTAATTCCAACAACCTAGTCGCCCGATGATTTCCGTTATAATTCCTTATTATGGAAGACTTTTGACAACATAAAAAACGGACTAGTACTCAAACAAGAGAACTCACAATACTCACGGTCAAGGAAATAGGTTTCGATAGCCATAATGATCAGAAGTATACTTATGACGATTTTTAATCTCTTAAAGTATTCTCATAGGCCGATCCAGGATGGTTCTATACCAATAATTGTGCAAATGTTTTATGACAATCATGTCCTCGTAGCACACGAAACAGTGCTATAAATCAGACTACACACTAATCTCAATTGGTCATTAATTGTCCATCGTTTAAATGAACTCGATTAGGGACAATTTTGGATTATAATATTCAATGTTCACTTAATAGGTGTTTCCTTACCAAGACTAGTCTTGATACCCTATTTTGAATATCCCAAGAATCGAATGGACTCATTATTAAATCCTAAACCACAATTAAATAGCAAACGGAGTAATAAAATATTGCATGAAATTTATATTACTCCAAAACTTGAATGATTTTTATTAGTGTCTTACATTAAATGTTCAAAATTTAACTAAAACACTAAACAGGGAAATTAAAGCCAGTCTCCTACATGCCTGATTCCCATTGCCTTAACGTGCTTGTTGTGCTTCACATGAGGCAAAGGTTTAGTAAGTGGATCGGCTACATTGTCATCTGTTCCAACTTTGCAAATTCTTATTTCACCTTTCTGATTTCCATTCTCGACTCATGTGAAACCACCGTTTGACATGTTTGACTTTCTGATGTTCCCTTGGCTCTCTGGCCTGAGCAATAGCTCCATTGTTGTCATAATAGAGGGCTATTGGACCCTTTATGGAGGGTACAACATCAAGTTCACAAATGAACTTACGAATCTAAACAACCTCCTTAGCCGCTTCAGCATCTGCTAAGTACTCAACTTCAGTTCTAGAATCTGCAATTGTACTCTGCTTGGCACTCTTCCAACTGAACTCTCCTCCATTTAGACAGAACACATATCCAGATTGCGATTTGAAATCGTCTCTATCTGTCTAGAGGCTCGCGTTGGTATAACCTTCAACAACTAATTCCTCCGAACCACCATACACCAAGAATTTATCCTTGTTCCTTTTCAAGTACTTTAGGATGTTCTTGGCCGCAGTTCAATGGGCCTCTCCTAGATCTTATTGGTAAAGGCTCGTAGCACTCAAGGCATACGATATATCTGTCCTAATACATATCATGGCATACATGATCGATTCAATAAGCGAAGCATATGGAATCATATTCATTTTTTCCCGCTCATCAGGTGTTTGTGTTCACTGCTTCTTGCTTAGGGTTATGCCATGTGACATTGGCAGGTGACCTCTCTTGCCCCCCTCCATGCTAAATTGAGCAAGTACCTTATCAATATAAGTACTTTGACTCAATCCAATCATCCTTTTTTATCTATCCCTATAGATCTTGATGCCTAGTATGTGCTGAGCCTCTCCTAAGTCTTTCATTGAGAAACATTTTCCAAGCCAGGCCTTTACAGACTCTAACAAAAAAATGCTATTTCCAATGAGCAATATGTCATTGACATATAAGACTAAGAAGGCGATGTCACTCCCATTGACCTTCTTGTAAACACGAGATTCATCTGGATTCTTGATAAAACCAAACTTACCGATGGCTTCATCGAATAGTAGATTCCAACTTTTGCTAGCTTGCTTTAGTCCATAAATTGACTTCTTAAGCTTAAAACCTTCCCAACATTATTTTGGTCAACAAAACCTTCAGGTCGTGTCATGTACACAGTTTCTTCCAAAATACCATTTAAGAAGGCGGTTTTGACGTCCATCTGCCATATTTCATAGCTATAATATGTAGTAATCGCTAGGAGGATCCAAACGGATTTAAGCATTGCGACTGGTTAAAAGGTTTCATCGTAATCAATACCATGAACTTGTCTATAACCTTTTGCCACCAATTTAGCTTTGTAAATGAATACATTTCCATATTTTTCGGTTTTCATCTTGAAAATCCACTTACATCCGATAGGTGTATAACCTTCAAGTAAGTCAACCAAGTCCTAGACTTGATTTTCAAACATGGAATCCATTTCAGATCTCATGGCCTCATGCCATTTTGCAGAGTCGGTACTTGCCATCGCTTGCTTGTAGGTTGCTGGTTAATCTCCATCCATAATCAGGATGTCCTCTGATATCTCGGTTAATACTAAACCAAGATATCTATCAGGTTGAGATCTCGGCCTCTAAGACCTACGTAGGGTAATGGATTGAGCATTTGCAGTGTCGGTTTGACTTTATACATTTTGATCATTTTGACCTACGTCAACTGATGCTGTTTGAGCACTTTGACTGTCATTTTGATTTTGTTTCTCATCCTCACGAACTTCATCGAGTTCGATTTTCCTCCCACTTGTCATTTTGGAAAGGTGTTCTTTCTCCAAAAAGACACCATCACGAGCAACAAACACTTTGTTCTCCAATTTGTTGTAGAAGTAATACCCTTGGGTTTCTTTTGGGTAGCCCACAAAGTAAACCTTGTCAAATTTGGGATGAAGTTTGTCAGAAATTAATTTATTGACATATGCTTCGCATCCCCATATCTTTAGAAAAGACAACCTAGGAGGTTTCTTTGTCCAGAATTCATATGGAGTCTTTTCTACAGCTTTTGATGGTGCACGGTTCAGTTTTAGTGCCGCAGTTAGAAGTGTGAGTCCCCAAAAAGAGATAGGAAGATCACTAACACCTATTGTTGATCGTACCATGTCTAACAAGGTCCGATTTCTCCTTTCGGATACTCCGTTCCATTGTGGAGTTCCTGGAGGTGTCAATTCTGAAAGAAAACCCTTTTCTTTCGGATAGTCATCGAATTCTTGGCTCAAGTATTCACCACCTCGATCCAATCGAAGAGCTTTAATTTTCTTGCCGTCGCGAGCAACAAACACCTTGTTCTCCGATTTGTTGTAAAAGTAATACCCTTTGGTTTCTTTTGGGTAGCCCACAAAGTAAACCTTGTCAGATTTGGGATGAAGTTTGTCAGAAATCAATTTCTTGACATATGCTTCGCATCCCCATATCTTTAGAAAAGACAACCTAGGAGGTTTCTTTGTCCATAATTCAGATGGAGTCTTTTCTACAGCTTTTATAGTGCACGGTTCAGTGTTAGTGCCGCAGTTAGAAGTGCGAGTCCCCAGAAAGAGATAGGAAGATCTTTAACACCTATTGTTGATCGTACCATGTCTAACAAGGTCCGATTTCTCCTTTCGAATACTCCGTTCCATTGTGGAGTTCCTTGAGGTGTCAATTCTGAAAGTATACCCTTTTCTTTCAGATAGTCATCGAATTCTTGGCTCAAGTATTCACCACCTCGATCCGATCGAAGAGCTTTAATTTTCTTGCCATCGCGAGCAACAAACATTTTGTTCTCCGATTTGTTGTAGAAGTAATACCCTTTGGTTTCTTTTGGGTAGCGCATAAAGTAAACCTTGTCAGATTTGGGATGAAGTTTGTCAGAAATCAATATCTTGACATATGCTTCGCATCCCCATATCTTTAGAAAAGACAACCTAGGAAGTTTCTTTGTCCATAATTCAGATGGAGTCTTTTCTACAGCTTTTATAGTGCACAGTTCAGTGTTAGT